CGGCGGGGAGCACCGGCCCGCGGGCTGCGCCTCCCACCGCGGGGGCACGACCCGACCTGCGCGTTCCCAGCCAAAGCAAGGCAGCGCAGCGCAGTCCCATCAAGTGCTGCCGAAACGCTCGGGTCAGTCGCTCCACCATCCCAGCAAGATGCTCAGGAACTTGTACGAGATAGAACAGACTTAATATGTCAAAAAGCAATCTCACTAGTCAGATAAAAAAAAAAATAAAAAAAAAAATACTGATTTTACTCAGTTCAATTTTCCAGGACAGCAGAGAAAAACATTTACACCGTCACATCCTTCACACATCTTCATTTTGTTGAAATTTTACCCCTTTTAACATTTTCTGACCATCTTTGTCACGTGCATTGGGCCACTCCACAAGAAATTTTCTTGTAATTGCGTGTTTGCTCACATAAAACTCCAAACGTCAGAGCACAGGAGCAAGAATGAAGAATAAGAGACCAACCAACTGGAGATTATGGTTCATTCTTACAAAGCTGGATTAAACAAATCAGGTATTTTTCCGTTATTAGCTCTTTCCTGAACTTGCCACGCACCCCGCTTACCATAACGCCTGTCTCCTCTGGGCCAAGAAAAGCGCCTTCTGTACTGTACTGCCAAAATAGCATCCAGTATCCTCGCTACACAAATAAGAGAAGTTTTCAGTATCAATAGCAAAGGCTGCGTTGTTCTCACCACTGAGAATCAAGATCCTAAACCTATACTCAAGCACTTCCCCACCAAATTAAACTGTTTTTGAAAACAGTGGCCCATGATAACAAGCTGAGTTTCAAACAGGACAGAACTGTGTATTAATCTGTCATCTGTACCATCAGATGTCACTACAGCTCACTTCCCTTAAAGGTTCACTGCGTTCTTCCCGGTGCATGTCACTAACAAACACTGCTTTTTGCTTACACAAACCAGAACAAACTATGGACAGCTACACGAAGTTCCTCTTCAGAGAACAACTCTTGTTCATCCGAACTCACTCTTTGGCCAAGATTTCCCTAAGTAATTCTTTGATCCTGTATCGCCACTGCCCCCCTGCCCAGGTGAGAGGAAGCAAAATGCCTCTGGTTAGCATACGAATGGCATGCTATGCATGCAGACCCCAGCCAGGAAACGTGCTGTGACAGCAAGGATTTGAAACAATAAGCTTCCATCCACCTGATAAACATCTACCCATCTCCCTCCAAGCCCTCTGCTTTACCTCATCTAATTAAATGAAAGCTGATCCTCACTGGTATTCACAGTAGGAGACACTAAGGCGTTAATCAGCTCAAGCTATTAGCTACATAACATCTCTAAGAAAATGATAGGAAGAAAACATCTATGCTAAAAACCCAATAGTTTTGTCTTT